CGAGAGACTGGCCAGGAAGGATGCCTACAGTTAAGTACACAGAGGTCTCGCACAATCGGGAATGTATGTGATTCCTTTGTTCTTGTTCTGGCCAGATGACTGCGTCTTTGTCATAGTAGACTTGATGGTACAGCCTAACACATTACCATTTGTGTGTACATACAAACACACACCCACATGCATACAATGCATATATATTTATTCCTATGACTCTGTGTATGGCGACGAACCGCTTCCGAAGAGAGTACAGGCAGACTCATGTGACTTGAGCCATTCAGAGAGTTGGCCGCTGCTGAAGGACAATGCGACCGGGCGACTTCACAGTTTTGCCCATTGAAATCTGGGTAGAATAGGTTTATTCTGATGAGACGATTGGAATGAGCAGTGAGCAGGCTCGTTATTCGACCCCGAGGAACTGGAGCTCTGCTACCAGCGAGACCAATGGAACAGGGTAGGTTATCGGAATTTCGGCAATCCCATGCAATTGTTCTCTTCATCGGACCAGTCCAACGCGGATAAAGCAAGTTTAGGTTGAGAGCGCTCCAGAAAACAGCAAACGTACTTGGGACCACCACATTTGTGGCTGTGAGTGAGGCATATTTACGGCGTATATGCCACTCTCCAGCGTGATGCAGCGGAACAGGACAGCGCCAGTGTGTGATAATAACGAGAAAGTATTATATTTCTGAGAAACCTGTTGAAGTTTGTTATTTTCCTGTCATGCATGATTTTGTCTAATTATGCAGGCTCCAGTCTTAAGAGCATTCCAATCAACGCTAGGCCGCTTTTTTTGTTGTCACGACTTTAGAAAGCTTAGCACGCAAGGGTCCCTAGCATTTGCTTTGGCCAAGTCTGCAAATGGAAGTCCTTTGAGAGTTTATGCATTTACAACTAAAACAGTAAAATTCATTTATGCCTATCCACCTGGTGCAAAAAACCTATCAATTATATCACCATGGCTACAAATAGTTATGAAATGAGGCATCAGTCCTAGCTGCTAAAATATTTTTAAATTACTTACGCCTCGCTATAATAATTGCATATTCCAGACCCGCAACGATTTTACAGGTAGCCGAATCCACCTCTGTACCAGTTTTGCTTCGTAGTAATCAAGATTGTGAAGGATGAATGCGTGAATCAGTTTCAAATGTTCTTACTATTGCAGCAATAGCCACTTTGTACACGATTAATTGAATGAAGAACTTGCATCTTGTCATGCATCACGCGCTGTGTCAAACTTGTCTTCTCTCAGGAATCGCACCGTCATTTGCCTTAAATCCATTTAATATTAATCAACACGCATGAATTGCAAAGTAAAGTGTGCCGTTCTCCATTTATATCACTTTTCGCAGTAATTTATATCAAACATACATTCCTTATATTTGCCGTTTAACTTGATAAACTACTCATTTATAGTTAGTAGAAGATTTTCGTTTCACAGCAAGCAGGAGTCTGTGGATTGTGTGTCCATGGTTCGGGTCTCATTGAGGCTTTTCCTCCAATTTATCGTGATCAGTCTGGCCATTAGTGCAATAGGAAAAAAAGCCGAAACTTGGCACCTCAGCAGCAGTCGAACGCAACTTCAGTTTTTAGATGCTCCACCTGGTTTGTATGCCACAACTTAGATGGACCCTTTCGTTGTCCAACACTTCCCGGTCCCGCAGCTTAGGACAGTGCCAAGAATTTACGCTTCACCTCACTTTCCTTTACTGTATCTTCATTGCTAGGGCAGAAATAGAGCTCCAACGTTTAATCAGCATTTCTGCATGTCTCAAACGTCGCTTGGCAAAGGAGAAATATGAGCGCATCGAATCGAGAACACACGAGGAGGCGGAGAGGCATCATAACAGCAATAAGGGAGCATACCTCTTAACACGAATAAAACTATCCAAAATCAGATCCAGATCTTGCGCAATAGGGTCCAATGGATTCCTCCAAACCTTCTTTTATGCAGAAGCACTAATGTGAACAATTATTCGGTCTGAAATGGGTTATCTCTTCAGGTATACGATTTGGATTTAGGCCAGACAATCGGGTATAACCGATAATCCGTCTGTCCTCACCTGCGCTTTCCATCTTTCTTCGACAGCTGACTGACTTAAAATTCATAGACCTGGACCTGGTCTCTGGGGATCCCTAAAAGCAGGACGACAGTTTGGGGGATGGTCATTCACAGCATACCAGATAAATCTAACCTCGTAGGCTGCCTTTTATTGCCTCTTTGGTGAGCTCGCCCAGAACGTGAGCCAATCCCTGAGAGAGAGAGAGAGAGATATACCGCCTGACTGTGCGTATGTGCTGTGGTGTGCCGTTTCAGGCGAAATTTGTAGAAAATTGAATTCTTCTGAGAATAAATAGGCATGGTGAAGACATTCTTTTTGCCTTCATAGACCAAAATTCGTGCACTTAGTTATTAGGTCTTAATGATTCCTTCGCTTCTCAAACCTGACTCTATGCGGGTCCCTACGAAGAGAGAACAAAGCTGTCGAAAATCTCTGTTTCCCAAACTCTCCTATCCCTAAAGGCACCCTCATGAGAGAGTAGAACGATCCTGACACCAATTTAAGATAAACCCAAGAGCAAAATATGAGGCGAATGGGGTCTGCCCCAAAAAACTACGAAGTGTGCTGTTCATGTCTGGTGTGAAGAGGGCCAAGAGAAAGTTTACAACCATGCATGTAAAGTCGTCAAACCAAGATACCTTATAAGACAGAGAAGCACCCTCAAAAAGGCACAAGCTGAGATACAACTCACGTCGAGATTCATAATTATAAAGCATTGTGAATGTGTACGCCGAGCAATAATAGTCCGGTGTACAAGGGCCTAGTGGCTCATTTTTTACCTAAACGAATAATGCTGAGGGTAATTTCAAATACATCGGCAGAGCATATGCTTCAAACACAGATTGAGGGTGAAGGAAGAGTCGGCCAGGTCCTAAAACTTCGTGAAGCTTGCTTATTGGATTTTTAGTAACCAACACATTAACAATTAGGTCTATAATAGATACGTATAAATAGGTTGAAGTGAGTCAAATTAACGAAATGGTTCATCATATAGCGCAAAGACCCTTTCAACAAGTCAAATAATTTGTGAGGTTATACTCTGATCCAGGTGTACTTTTGGGTTATTTGCCTAAAACGCGAAATTCTTGAGTTTTTTAATTTTTTTGGTGAGTTTCTTGGTAGCTTGGTTGAATTAGCGTGGTATTTTGCAATTATAAAAGTTCAGAGAAGGATCGTGTCTCAATCTAGTTTAAGATGCTTTATTATCATTGCAAACTGAGTTGTTTGGAGGAGTTTTCGATGATGCTACCAATTTTTTTAATTATGATATTGTCCTTATTATCTATGCTTGTTGGTTAATATGTGATTTTTTTGTTTCAGATGACCATTTTAAAGTTGTCTGTATTTCCATAGCCTGAAAATTTAATTTATGTTCTGAAGATTTAATTATTTTTTGTTTGATTTTTTTAGAGGAAGTAATGTATTCGGGTGCGTTGATATTATTAACTTCCTTCTAGGCGTATGCTGATTCATTCTTTATTAAGATTAGTTTCGGGTTTCTATGGGTCCATGTGATACCATTGTTGGGGAGACTTTCATTTCGTGTGAGTGTATAAGGAAAAGCTTCTTTGATTGATCTCACTGCAAGGAAACGGCTGATTCACATTGTTCTGTTGCCTTTTGGGTTTTAGCGTGACATTCAGTTTGGCACAGTCCATGATACATCCTCCCTCGTTTTGGGTGAAACTGGGCTAAGCTTTCGTCTATCATATGATGGATATCATCAGAGCAAGAAGTCATTCTTTTAAATGTGTTAAGTCAATGCTATGTCAAGACGACTGTCCAGCTCAATTTAACATCGTATATATTCTCATAGCTAAAAACGAAAATATATAGACATAGATAAATAGATATAAAATAATTTGGCTATTTCACTTTCGCATTACTCATGGTAATTTTACTTGGGTGTGATTGAGTGTGTTTGTATTATAACGTCAATACGCAATACCGGTCCTAAATCAGATTGATTAGAAAAGCCTTTTGTCAGGCTCTGGTTATCAAGATTTAATGACCCAATTAAAAGCTTTGACCGAGACTGCGTAAGTCCTTGCAGAACTCTGGATGAGATAATAAAATGTAAGCTTGTACACGCATAAATCAAATAACGAAACAACCCGCCATAAACTGCCAGGCCAGGGTCATTAAGTTTTCATGACCCACGGAGAGGCATGACTGGGATTGCGTAATCGCCAAAGTTTGGTTTGGTTGATGGGATTAATCTACGTGTTGAACTAGTGTGAGCGAAGTTAGAACCACTAGTGAGCTGACAAGCAGGGTCATCTTCTTTTGAATGTATACTCAGCATATCCCTCATTCAATCTTTAAATTAAGCACAAGTGGTTCTTAGTGAACTTTTTGCCACAGTTCCTCGCATTTCAATAGTCCTTGTTGTTTCATTTCTGACAGCAGATGTACTATAATCTGCAAACCGGTGGGTTTGAGATCATTCTATCTCGTGTCCAGTCTCTGGCCTGCGTTGAAGCCAGCTGACCATACAAGCATTTGTGTGTTCCGTTAAACTTTGGCGAATAGGCCGACATCTCACCAACCACAGAAGACCACATTCTTGTAACAGCTGAATCACACTAATGTGTCATATTTCTCTTTCAAGGATTAAACAAGTCTCTTCATCATGCACTAACATTCAAAATGAAGGCCTCACCAAAAATGTTTGAAATATGCAGTGGGACCATTGAAACAGACGGACAAATCTCCTTATCACACACACTTGGGACGAGGAGAAAAAGCTAACTTTCCTGTCTTTGTGATGCTCTATTAGGTACCAGGGCGACCTGTGTTGCACACTTCTCCTCGAAGTCCTCATCCATCGCGTCGCGCGTCTTCCTCGGAAGGACAGCGAGCCCAGTCTAGACAAAGGGAATCAGCCTATGATAGCACCAAACGACGGGATAGCTGATGTCTCTGCTCGTCTGACCATTGACGTCTTGCAGACATTCCGCTCAAATTTGAGCTGACAATCAGTTGGTACAACCTCATCTGCCCGTGGCTAATAGGTAGGCTGCATACCTCCAATCGGCAGTCGGCAATTTGAATAACTAATCTCAGTATGTGTACATAATGCTGCTGTTTAGTATGCAAGCCAGTTTATACTTTGAACAATTATCCCGAGCTGATTCAGTCATTTTATTGGCTCTCATGCTCCAGTTGACTGCACATAGGCATGCATAAATTTGTAATCTTCATTAAGCAATTGGTGCAGTCAGCTGTTCATATGCACACACGCACACAGTCGGTCCAAAGTGAGGACAGATAATGTTAAACCGCCTTGCAGTTCACGAAATCCAACTCCCTTGAGAGGCCGGCTTTTAAGCCTTCGAGGTTTGGCAAGTGAAAGGGGGACATTTTGGGGCACGGTTACATATTTGCCAAAAGATGTCCAACCCTCAGAAGGGGACGGTGATTGTCGAAGTCTGGCTGCCTCAGCTCAATCTCTCAACCAAAGCCTTCGGGACTAGGCCGGTTTATCTTCTCGATTGCCTATTTATCTTCTAACACCAATTCCAGGAAAGTTAAATGATAGGCTTGCCTTCGCCGGGGTCATAGGGAAATGCAGCCTCTTGTGTTTGGGCCTTGATGCCGTAAATTTGGCTGTTTAACACGCCGTTTCAGTCAGCACATAATAAGGAATTAAGAAAAGTATCGAGCTCACTTTCATTTCGAGTGAGAGTATGGGGTGAAAGTAAGTGGATACCACCAAAAGAAGGCGGTTAGGTCTTTTTGACCAGATGTTGGTTGGCCGTATTGAAGCAAACTTATTGATGTTGTTACCGAATTGGGTGAAAACGGAAAATGGATGGACATCACCAGAATAGAGTGACATTCATACAAACAGTCAAGCTAAAGAATCAGCATAACTTGGTCATATATCCCTAAATATGTGCATTTTGAAGAGATATAAGATTGAAATTATATGCCAACCGGGAAAAATGTGCATGCGTCTGTGAAAAAAAAGGGTTTCGAGGAATTTCTTAATGATATATTGTGACATGACCTACCATTTCGAGAAAAAAGTTGATGGAAAAGAATTATTGAATTGGTCTCACCGGAAACCGAAGATTGACTGCCACGAAGTGAAGACGCTTGAATTGTGCGAAGAAGTCTGTGATTCACAGTCATACTAGCCCGAAAAACCTGAGCTAAGCCCTCGTCTGTCATGTGACAGACAGACATCATCAGAAAGAGAAAGCATGACCAACGAAAAGACACACCAAATACAATAAGCCAAGAAAGCAAGAGTGTCCCGGTGCCATTACACCCATTTATTATGACTAACTTTGCAATCCTAATGAGGCACACAATTATTTGGTTGGCTATTTCATACCTAACAAGCATTTTGTTGGTGGAGGAAGCTGATGCATGGAAGGGAAGTGGATGCAGAGGCAACTGTTTCCCTGTTTAAATAATCAAATGTATGCTCCTGCAATTGTTGTTTGCGTATTGTGTGTATGCAATGTCAAAGTCATGTGTAGTGTGGGATTTCTAATCGCACTCGAAGCTAGTCAAGCCTCCTCCTCTGTCCAACATCCACAAACTTCTTCTTTCCTTTTCACTTTGCCACATTTATTCTTCCTATTCAGAATTCTGTGTGTTTTGGGTGTTTATGTTTACTTCTGAAAATATTTTTCTTGCATCTGAATTTCCCGTAGCCTGCAATAAGAGGTGTTTTAGATCATTCGGATTGCGAATTTAGGCATAAAATGTGGGAGTGGTTACACCGGGTCACTCTTATTTGCTCAGATAGTTGTATTTGGTATGTTTTTTCGTAGGGCATGGTTTCTCACTCTTACCGTGACCGTTTGTCACTTGACAGACCAAAGCTTAGCATGGACTTCTCGGGATAGAAGGACGGTGAGCCGAGGACTTATTTGCACTTTCAAGGCGTCTTTACTCTGCGATAATCATTCTTTAGTTTTTGGTGAGACCAATTTATAAATATTTTCAAACCAACTTATTCTCCGACATCAAAAGTCATATCACAGCAAGTTGGCATATTTTCTATTGCAAATGCAACTTGATAAAACTAAGCTTCTTGAGTAACGTTAACCATAAACATCTATTTGAAAATTCATATCACACAGGAATAACAACTTTGACCTTTTGTTGTCCCGATTTAAGAGTAGAATAGAATTTGTTTGACCTTGCATTTGTAACTTTACCGGGAAACATCAAGATCAGATAAAAGAAGACGATCAGATCAAGGAAATATTTTTGAACAGGAAGTAGAGATATCCCAAAGAAGAGACCACAGAGAGTGAGCCTAATCAAAGCAGGTAGAACAACTATAACATTTGGGGACTTATAGACACGAAACTGGGAAATGAAATTCATAGACTTGGCACGAGAGATGCGACGGAGACCGGAAATAGTTGGCATATAGTAGGCGGATTTGATCATAGACGTGATCGGTGAAGGCTATGCCAAAAGTATAAGGGAATCTGTAGCGTCGAGTTATTTTTCTATCCATCTTGAGGATCCTGACTTTGAGGACCTGCTCAGTGAGGCTGTAGGATACGTGCTACCAAAGGCTTGAGGCAAAGGGTCGAACTAAAGGCCTCTAGTAGCACGGCCATAGTGAAAGGGACTGAATGAAATTACAGAATCAGAGAGATGAGAGAGGAATCCTATAGGGCCAGAGGGAGACTCTGATGGAATGTGAAGGAAGAATATTGCAAACTAAAGGGACAGACTTGGACCAACACACCAAATGCAGTGAGGCAGAGGACGTGAGAACTAGCGAGGTTTCACGAAACTAGGTTTGGATCGGCAAGTAATAAATTTCGAAGGTGAATGGGTTTTACGAGGATATAGGAAAGGTGAATGAACCATGACTGCTTAGCAGGCAATTGGTAAAATAATTGGCTTCACTTGTCTCTTTGACGAGTTGTGGTGCGGTGATTCGAATGAAAAGGCTCATTGACGATGCTGACGATGAGAATGTACACAGTCTATGGTTCGACGCTGAAGATTATCATAGATACAATGGACATCGGACAATTTGCGCTCCTCTAGGTGGTCCCGAAAATATGATCCATTTGTAAAAGCAAGGACAAAACACTTCTATAAAACGAAAGAAGATTTCGACCATACTAGAAAGCCCACAATCGTGGTCTTCATACTTTAGATTAAATCCTGACTTACCATTTAATTTAAATGTTTCTTTAATTGGCTATTGCATGGCTTCGAGATCTTTGGGAAAATGCAGTTTTTCCGTTTGTGGACAAGGTCTGGTTTCGAAGCCCACTAGAGGTAAGAATAAGAAAGCACAGCATCTTCTAGCAACAATGTAGATTTTTAGCATCGTACCTCCTGTTTACTTGATCGTAGCCAGTCTGCGCTCAGCCACTACACCAACCGTGTCAACTTTGGAGGCCCGAACAATTTACTTGCCCGAATAGCGGATCGACAAGCCTGAAGAAATTCTAGCATCTTCCTGGAAGGAGACGCAACTTTTCACCTTGACCAGACCAAAATAATCCAGTCGACGAGCAGAAAAAAGACTAAAACTATTGTGTATGTGTGTGCGTATGTGAAAGGGGAGTGAAAGGTGAATAAATGAGTACATGAAGCTCGGGTAAATATGTGGATGCAACGTGGACTTGGCTGTCTCTTGCCTAAGGCCATGCAGCGTCCGCATATATCCTGGAGCATTCCTGAAGTGCCGGATTTCCAAGAGTCTGTCAGTATGCCATAGTTTGGCTCACTTCCATCTTGAGTGAAGTTGGGTGAAGAGCAGACTCGAAGGTCAATCGCACCAGTCGACAACAGCGGATTCCTCTTGACCAGTTGTCGTTCCCGGCCCGGACGTTCCAGAAGTGTTTTGTTTCGAGGAATCGGGCGAAAGTGTGTGATAAAAAGGTTAGCACGTTTTCATTGAAATCGGAGAAGACTACCTCGGGGCCGGTGTTGACAAGGATGTTCTGGTAATGCGGAATCCGCAATCGTATTCAGATGGGATCAACTTTCGAATCCCTTCTTCACACACTTTGACTCGAAATACAAGTGAGCTCAACAATTGAAAGCTAAGATATTGCTGTAAAAACAACCTTTATATGCAATTATATCTATTCTTAGTATCATAAATGTATCCAGATTTAGTTGCCCATCTATCTACCTATTTTTTCGTTCATCTTCTGATATACTCGTATCTTTGTTTGGGTGTGTTCGTCTAAATTGTTCGGAAATGTACAGTAACCTACCCCGATGAAGAAATCATTTATTTCTAAGTTTCGCTGCCAGACAAAGCAACCACTCATTACTTAGTTATGAAATATTTCCTCGTTTTAGTTTATTTCCATTTACTTTTTTTCCGTGTTTTATCTCTCTATGCCACTTTCTACTGACCAGCAGAATACAGTGGAGGGAAGGGAAAAGCTAATAAGTTTAAGGTTTGGTCAACTGATTTAGGGAGTATATGTATGGTCGGGCAAGGGATGGGGATTATCAGTTGCTCAATCACGCTGTCAAGATTCTGATAGATGGGCTTAGTCCAAAACAGTCGATGGGCTTTGATGCTTTATGAGGCCAGATGAAAAGCGATAACTATCCTTTAGCTGATGGACTGTGTCAGATTATTTAGGGCGGCAAAAATCTTTTAATATAAAGCCTAGCTTGATATTGCATTATTTGTCAATATGCCTTGCTGCCTAATTTCGTGAATTGGGCCAGGTACTAATTTGAAGTCAATCCAGCTCAGCGACAGCAAAATGTGTCAGGAGGGTGAGGTGAGATGCTGCATGCGGCTCTTTATCCTGACAACCAATTACATGCAAGGTCGCGAACCTGTACTGGCTAAGGTGGTTGTTGTGATCATCTTCATTTCGTGTGAAGGTGTCAGATCAAGGCGTTTCTGGAAGACAAGAACCTGCATTTTACAGTTTGAGATAATCTCACCTGAGATTACCAGTCCATCCTTGATCGGTAGTCACAACAAGGCTGAATACAGCAATTGTGGGCC